AAATATAGAGCATACTTAATTTTAAAAATCGAGTATATATATCATTACATTAGAGATTTATAAAAGATAATGTTATACATCTAAACTTGGGTTTCATAAATACATCCAAATGTAATGCTCCAGATTGCCTCAGAACAGGTGAGCAGGTCTCTGGCTTTCTTCATGGCTGGTTGTGTATGCAGGTGTTCTGTGGGCAGTTGAAAGGAGAAGTGCGTGAAATGTTGTAGGAGCCCAAACTGTGAGCTGGGGAGAGGCACAGGCTGGGCCAGTTTTTTCGCTTTTCATAGTTTGGATTTTTCTTTGATGGTTTTGCTGTTGGGAAGGCCACCAAGTGGGTGAATTTGTTTCCTTGTTGTCCCTCAGTAGATGATGATGAGCTCTGTGTTAGCCACCGGGGCACCACAGGGAGACAGTCACGTGTCCCAGAACCCTCTCCTGGTGCTTGTGCTCAGAGCCTGTGTATTTTGTGAGACACCATTCAGACCTCCACTGTTGGTCAGACTCATGGCCACTCACTAGAATCATGAGATGGCTGTGAGCAACACTAAGGAACAGTCAGTGTGCATGTGATGATGGTACTGTGGCTACCTGTTGTTGAAAGGATAAAGAAATTGAAATGTAAAGGATAAGGTTTGTTTCAAGACCTGTAAAGCTTTTAAGTTCTGTTAAGTTGCATTTGGAACCTGAAATTCATGTGGCAGTTAAAACAACTCCCGGAGAGACCAGTAAAAGTATGTTGAAATCTCCCCTGACTATCTGGTTGTTCTGTAAAACCAACCCACCCTCCCAGAAAGAAACTGTGCAGTCCAGCACGTATACACCTCAGGGCTTAAGCCAATCAGTTCAAATGTATACCCTTCTTTATGCTGACCAATCATCCCTACCCGACTTGTTCCCGCCAGTGAATGTACTAATCATAGTTAAGAGTTGTTTGATTTTCCCGCTGCGTGTGATGATTTGTTATGACGTATATGAAGTCCCGGCCCTTTCCAAAGAATGTATATAAGCTCTGTTTAAGCTGTTCATGGGGCTCTTTGTTCTCTGCTCCTCTGAAGTGAGCTCTGAGCCCCAGCATGCTGGACCCCCAATAAACCCTTTGCTGTTGCATGAGACAGTCTCTTGGTGGTCTTTTCCTCCGATGTTCGCCCGACCTTTACATCATAAGTCTTTATCTTTTAGAAGTTTATAGAATAAATTTTGCATAAGTGGAATTTCTTTTCTTTTTTCTTTTTTTTATTATCATTTTTATTTGTTCTACTTAGTTGTACATGACAGCAGAATGCATTTCAATTCACTGTACCAAAAACGGAGTACAACATTTCAATTTTCTGGCTGTACACATTGTAGAGAGGCACCATTTGTGCAGTCATACATGTACCTAGGGTAAAGATGTCCATCTGATTTCACCATCTTTCCTAGTCCCCATAAGCCTTCCCCACTCTCCCCTTTTGCCCAATCCAAAGATTCTCCACTTTCCCATGCCTGCCCCTCCAATCATAGATCACCATCCGCTAATCAGAGAAAACATTTGGCCTTTAGTTTTTGGGGATTGGTTTGCTTTGCTTAGCATAATATTCTCAACCCTATCCATTTACCTGCAAATGCCATACTTTTATTCTTTTTTAATTCGGAGTAATATTCCATTGTGTATATTACCACAGTTTCTTTATTCATCTGTTGATGGACATCTAGGTTGGTTCCACTGTTTAGCTATTGTGAATTTAGCTATTAAAAACATAGCCACACTGGTGTGGCTGTGTCACTATAGTATGCTGATCTTAAGTCCTTTGGATATAGACTGAGGAGTGGGACAGCTAGGTCAAATGGTGGTTCCCTTCCAAGTTTTCTGAGAAATTCCCACACTGCTTTCCAAAGTGGTTACACCAATTTGCAGTCCCACCAGCAAGGAATGAGTGTACCTTTTCCCCCAAATCCTCTCCAACACTTATTATTGCTTGTATTCTTGATAACTGCCATTCTGACTGGGGTGAGATGAAATCAGAGTAGTTTTGATTTGCATTTCTCTAATTACTAAAGATGTTGAACACTTTTTTATATATTTGTTGATTATTTTTATGTCTTCTGAGAAGTGTCTGTTCAGCTCCTTAGCCTACTTATTGATTGGGTTGTTTGGTTGTTTTTTTTTTTTTTGGTGTTTTTTGAGATCTTTATATATTCTAGAGATTAGTGCTCTGACATGTGTGTGGTAAAAATTTGGTCCCGTCCTGTAGGCTCTGTCTTCACCTCAGTGATTGCTTCTTTTGCTGAGAAGAAGCTTTTTACTTTGAGTCCATCCCATTTATTGATTCTTGATTTTATTTCTTGTGCTTTAGGAGTCTTGTTAAGGACATTAGGGCCCAATCCAACTTGATGAAGATTTGGGTCTCCTTTTTCTTCTAATATGTGCAAGGTCTCTGGTCTAATTTCTAGGTCCTTCAAGAGTCCTTGGCTGGTTTTGAAAAGATGATCCACATAATCATTTTATATACCTGTTTAAAATATGAAAATTAAGCTGGACATAGTGGCACATGTCTGTAATCCCAGTGACTTGGAGGGGCCAGGCAGGAGGATCCTAACTTTGAGTTCAGCCTCAGCAATTTAGCAAGACCCTGTCTCAAAAAAAATAAAAATAAAAGATATAGATATATATGTGTTTATAATATGTATATATTATGTATATATACAGAAAATATTAATTTACACATAAAATATATTTTATGTACATATAGTTTATGTGTATATTGTAGTTTATGTATGTATGTATTTATAATTCAGATATACATGTATATGAAAATTTTTTAAAAGGCTTTGGATAAAAGATCTCTTTGGAACAGCTTTTGTGCTGTTGGTTTTATTTAACATCCTTCAAAGCACTTCTAAATTCAGGCTTGGTGGACAGTCAGTCATTAGGTGTAGAAGCTGTTGGTTCTCCTCAGGTCACTTTTACCTTTCATGTTTCTTCCACGTGCTGTCTTTGTTTTCTCTTGCACTTTGAGACTTCTGCTGTGATTACTATTTATTATCTCTTTAAAAGGCCATCAGTTAGGGGCTGGGGATGTGGCTCAAGCGGTAGCGCGCTCGCCTGGCATGCGTGTGGCCCGGGTTCGATCCTCAGCACCACATACCAACAAAGATGTTGTGTCCGCCGAGAACTAAAAAATAAAAATATTAAAAAAAATTCTCTCTCTCTCT